AGTGTGGCAGCAACCTCTACATCAGTAGGCATCAACATACACAAGGAAAAAAGCAACATCCTGGAAGACAACACGGAGAACACTAACCCAATCACACTTGATGGAGAAGCTCTGAAAGGCGTGGAATCCCTCACTTATCTGGGAAACATCGTTGATGAACAAGGAATATCGGATGCACACGTAAAGAGGAGGATTGACAAAGCAATGACTGAACTCCTACAGTTGAAGAACATATGGAACTCAAAATAACTGTCAACCAATATCAAAGTCAGAATCTTCAATATGAACGTCAAGACAGTTCTACTGTTCGGGGCTGAAACTTGGAGATCTTCCACAACCATCATCAAATAGTACAGGTATCTATAAGCAATTGTATAATCAAGATATTCCTTATTTTTTGGCCATTGTCAACAGCCCAGTGTGTGAGAAAAACAGTTTCGATCTGAGGAGGAAATTAAGCAAAGACGTTAGGAGTGGATATAGCATATATTTAGGAAATTACCAAACTACATAACGAGGCAAGCCCTATCTCGGAATCCTGAAGGGAAGCGGAAATAAGGAAGACCAAAGAACACACTGTGTCGGGAATCGGAAGCAGATATGAAAAGGATGGACAGCAACTGGAAAGAACTGGAGAGGATTGCTCGGGACAGTGTTGGATGGAGAGTACTGGTGGGCGGTCTATGCTCATCCACGAGGGAGAACAAGCGTAAGTAAATAAATGGTTATGAAATAGTAAAATCCAGTAGATTATTCCATGTTTACATTTAAAAGTATGTCATCTAGTGATTTTCACAGAAACATAACATCGATCACTTAACTTTATATACTTGCTTCATTACTCCCGTTACCCCTCGTGGAACATAGACTGTTGATCGAAATTCTCCAGTCAACATTGTCCTAGGCTTCTATCTATGTTTGTTTCCAAATGTTATTTTTTCTTCGATGTCTACGTATAAGTCCCAGAACAACAGGTCCTTTGATATACCTTTTCTCATTTTTCTTCCAGGATTCCTAGTCATGGTTTTTCTCGTGATACGGTTGGTGATTTCCGCAATCTATGTCCTATCCACTTCCAATGTATTTTCCTCATCTCCTCTTCAGCTGAAAAATAGTTCGTTCTCTCCCACAATAGATTGTTGCTGATGGTATACTGCCAACGGATATAGATTATATTCTGTAGACAACTGTTTATAAATACATGTGCATTTTTGATAGAGGTTGTAGTTGTTCTTCATGTGTCAGCTCCATACCATAAAACTGTTAAAGTTTGTATCGACTTTTATGACTTTGATTTCGCCTGACAGATATTTCGAGTTTTATATGTTCTTTAGTTGTTGGAATACTGTCCTTGTTTCACCGATCTGTGTTTTTGCATCTGCACCAGATTCTCCTTGTTCATCTGTGATGCTTCCCAGGTACTTCTTCCAGCAATCTACTGAATTTGTCGGTGATGCAAATATCAGGCTCTGTGTAGTGTGATGCAGAGAGACTCATGTAGATTTGTGCATGTGTTTGTGTAGTAATATTGTGCCATTTATAACCATTTTGTTGAGTACACATAAATTTCCAAATCTCTCACCATTCTCGTTCGTTTCTCCCACTCGCTCCATGTCGTCCCATGATATTTTCATATCTGGTGTCCAGAAGGGGTTTGTGGACATTTTAGAAATTTTCACAGATCGAAATCATGAGTCAGTTGGAGCTAGACCACCATGGAAAACCTGGAAGAACTGGACGGCTGTTTCGTCTTAGTATGGGATTCCTCAGCAGTGTGCATACACAACCCCGCCCCCCTGCGAGATTCGAACCCATGACCTACTGGTTTCGCGCGCGAGCACTTAACCATTAAACCACTGAACCGGCATCCAATGGTGTTAATGTCTAACTTCGACCAATCCACGAAGTTGCGCCACCGTATACCATTGTCTTCAGTGAGCTGATATCTCACAACAGACTTGGTTGAACTGCACTGGTAACGGCTTACCACGAGAACTCCAGGAGTATCTCTTGAAGTCCATTACGACTTTGGTGTTTATGTCTCTGATAAGGATGGTGAGGTCCTTTCCTGGTTAACTCTCCTCGATCGACTTCAGTCTCTGATGAAACTGATCCTTATCGTCTTCATTTAAAATCAATTTTGTGGGCATAACACTGGATAACATTCATTGTAATTCCCTCGTTCTTTGTTTTGAAGGATGCTGATTACTTCGAATATATTTTAATTTAACAACTATTAATAATGACACATTCATTTTACAAAATCATTTCTGTCTTTCACCAAGTTCGTTGTGAAATAGCCGTATCTTGATAAAAATTAAATTTTCCATATGACAGAATGAGCATAGGCCTCGTGACTTCCGAAGAATATCGGCTTTTCTCATGAAGCGTTATGACTCTTCTAAATGAAGATCCTTCAACTTTCAGAACTAAGTTTAAGTGATATAAATATTCTTTCCGGTTAGAGTTCATATAGCTCGGTCGTTTTCTACAGTATAGGGTTTCTAACCACATATCAACCCTTCTCCCTTATCCGGGCTTAAGAACGGCGGTAACCCCGAAAGACTACAGGCAGAGTTGATTACTGTACTAACAAATTAATAATGTGTGAATGTACAGTCCTTTCATTTTTGTCTCCTAAATTTTTTGAAACCTCTAAATTATTTCTTTCTGTCCCATAGAATTCAAACTTATGAAAAATATATAACGTGGAATGATTCATTCTAATTTCATCTTAATAACATCGTTAAACTGAATTGAACAGTTTTGAATTAAAGCATGATACTTCTAAACATTTATATATATTATAACTTCCCAAACATTCCTCTCTTTTACTGAATATTAAGAGTTTTATCCATAACCTCTTTATAGAAATCTTTACTCCAAATCCAAAATTTATCTACACTCTATTAGATCTTCCAATAAACAGTATTTCATACATTCTTTTTCAAATCATCATTCCTATTTCTTTACACTTTCAAACAATCTAACCATGGAAACTCACACGTTTATATTTAAGATAACTTTTTATCCGTAATATATCATACTAAAATACTATTTGAAAACTGAAAATGCACAAGATTAACAGCAAAAAAATAGTAAAAAAAAACATTACGTCATATTTTATGGATAAAGCACAAAATGAAAACATTGTCTATACATATATAGATCAGTCCTAAAACAAACGAAAAACGTTGATGAACAACTCAAATTTCAAAATGTATCATACATAACATGAATTACATTAAAACAGTTGACTGTTACTTTTACTTTCATTATATCGGAAAATAAATATTTAGCTCTCAGTTTTTTTTTCTCAGAAGAGGTTTTGTGGAGATTTCAGTCATTTCAATAGTTGAAATCATGAGTTAATTGAAGCTAGACCACCATGGAAAACCTGGAAGCACTGGATGACCGTTTTGTCCTAGTATGGGACTCTCCAGCAGTGCGCATCCACGATCCTGCCCCTTGCGAGATTCGAACCCAGGACCTTAATCTCTAGACCACTGACCGGCATCCAACAGTGTTGTTGTTTAACTTTAACGAATCCACGAAACTGCACCACCGTCACCATTGTCTTCAGTGAGCTGATATCTGATAACAGACCTGGTTAAACTTCACTGATCACGGCTTTTCACTAGAATTCAAGGAGTGTCTCTTAAAGATCTAATGGAGTGTAGATAAATTTTCGATTTGGAGTAAAGATTTCTATAAAGAGGTTATAGATAAAACTCTTAATGTTCAGTAAACGACAGGAATGTTGGGGAAGATATAATATTAAAATGTTTAGAAGTATCATGCTTTAATTCAAAACTGTTCAATTCAGTTTAACAATGTAATTAAAATGAAATTAGAATGAATCATTCCACGTTATATATTTTTCATGAGTTTGAATTCTATGGGACAGAAAGAAATAGCTTAGATGTTTCAAAAATTTCAGGAGTCGAAAATGAAAGGACTTTACATTCACACATTATCAATTTGTTAGTACAGTAATCAACTCCTCCTGTAGTCTTTTGGGGTTAGCGCCGGTCCTAAGCCCGGATAAGGGAGGAGGGTTAATATGTGATTAGAAAACAGAAAAAAAACATATATTTTTCTCTCATTTTACTTTGCCTCCATTCAATAAATTGTTATATAAGTCATCTGTGTATATGTGTCTGTCTGTATAGAATTTGATAGAGATCAATATAGACTAAAGAATGATTATGATTGTTCTACAAGAAATACACATCAAATGTAAATTTCCAAAATATCCTTCCATCTACATTTGACTATGAGTATTTGAAGGTACTTTTATACATTTATGTACTCAAATATCAAGTCTAAAATTAGTGTGTGATCATAAATTCTTTAACAGACATCACATTATTTATTTTAAACATACAGAAGTTGTGATTTTCGATTGTATTGTTATTACGTAAAATAATAAACTAGGAACAAGTAACGTTTCTTGAAATTGTGGCCTAATAAATATTCATCTAAATAGCTTTTATTAACATACACTTGTATATTATGAAGTTATTAAACAAAATATACTGTCAATTTTGATGAATAGATTACTTCAGAACAATCATCCTTAAATACGTTACCCTATTTATGTAAGGAAGATGAGTTTAAAACTTTCTACTTCCTTTTCTGGCACGTAGTTAGGATGTTAGAACAATGTGAAAATAACTTCTCTAATTAGTGACCAGGTTTTATAATTTATCAGTTAACCTTCTAAGCCGAGGACAGGGTTGAATGGAGAATGCTGGTGAGCGGCCTATGCTCCTTCACAAGGAGTAACAGGAGTAAGTAAGTAACTTTCTAAGATCTGATTTATAAAGCTATCTTGTTATGTAACCGGGACATGACATTTCCATCGTTTCTGAGCTATTAAGGTTTTTGGTATTATAAATAAGTAAATTATTTATTTCCTTAGCTTGAATAAGGAACGTATTAAAAGGTTAGTGAAATATGCATACAATACAATAATTCCTAATTAGATACAAACTCACTATAGAAAAGAATTTGTTTCATCCAGATTCATCTAGTTTGTAACTTTCTAACATGCAACACTTAGTTCCAAGTTTATGTATGACGTCTTTTTAGGATACAGCTTAACGCTTTTGATAGACCTAATATATAATAAAGTGTAGTTTATAAAGACAATTGTAAATTATTGTTTAATTATTTACGTAAAATGTATAATTTATATCATTAAGTATTTAATATGAATACAGATTTATTAAATAAAAGTTAACTTATATCGAATAGAAAAATAAAAACTATTTCATAATTAGAAGCAAAAATGGATAATGGCTAACAGTGGAATCCAGGACACGCGTTTCAATCCTATTTTAGCACTTGTCAGTTGGATGTGCCAGCATACCAAAGTTGAAGTTCACACCAGGACTCGAACTCAGTACTGTTCGCTTCAAACACCATCACGTTATTCACTTAGCTACTGAGTCCTGACAGCCACTTGCTTGTGCAATCGGGTGAAGTTGAAATTCACTTGGCATTGTTCACTTGAATCTTCCAATTGATATTTAGTACTGTAATTGATCAATCTGTTATTGGCATATGTGCATACTGTGCGTATTGCCTCGATATCACGTTAATTCACAAACATTCTAAGCAAACATGGATAGTGGTTAGCAGTGGAATGCATGACGCGCATTTCCTCTTATTCGGTATTGGTCAGCTACACCTGCCTGCATCTCACAGTTGATGTTCACTGTGACATTCCAACCCAGTACCGTTTGCTTTATACACCATCACATTATTCACTTAGCTACTGAGTTCTGATAATCATTTGCTTGTGAAACGAGTTGAAGTTTTAAATTCATTTGATGTTATTTACTTGTATATAATAATTTTCACATGTATTAAAATAGTTAAAATGAAAGATTTTAATGTTTATTTTAATAGAAAAGTGAGTCTTATGTCACAGTTTTCAGGATTGTTTGTTTAATTCAAATTGAATTAGATGAATGAAACAGGATGGCAAATCAAGTTTAGATCAAATATGTGTGTATATATATACATATCTAAATTTATGTGTATCTATGTATTCATATTATAATACAAAAATAATGGTTATAAAAACTCAACATTGGTTAATACACACAGTAACAACAAATAACAAATGTACTAGTTATGTAAGCATTAAAAACTTTTCATTGGAATCAATATATATATATATATATATATATATATATATATATATATATATATATATATATATATATATATACTAGTCAATGTATATAGACTCATATAAATGTATATAGATGACTAGAGTCTTATAAACTTTATCCTGAACAAATTATATAATGATACATGATTATGTAACAATGTAAATTGGTTCATTCCTTAAATATAATTGAATTATACACATTGAATTCAATCAGTACGAAGTTCAATGAGTATACACTTTTACTTAATCATCAGATTTTCACATATATATATAAATAAATTTTAATGAATGTTACTATAAAATGGTCAAAATGAATTGTGTAATCTTTTTTTGTTTGTTTGTTTGTTTGTTTGTTACAAAACATACACACAATTCCAGTGAAATTGTTCTAGAAAAAAAAAGAGAGAGAAGGAGAGAGAGAGAGAGAGACAGAAATACCTTGTGTAATTCTACAACATAAACAGTGAATCAAAACAACAACAACAACAACAAAACAAAATAGTACTCGAATATCTATCTATCTATCTTAAATAAATGTAGTGTTGATGTTATTTTACCTGACGCCTAAAATTGTGTTGACAACCAATATAGAATGTTTTGATAAAATTTTATATAAATGTTATTCATTATTTTATTAATTTAATGAATTAACTTCTGTTCATTTATGTTTTATAATACAAAGAGGTATATTGTTTGTATTTTTATGTATATAAATGAATATTTATCCGGAACATAATTCAATTTTATATTTAACAATATTTGGTACACTTAATTTGAACCAATTTACAGTCAACTATTCATAACAAATATTCACTCTCTCTATATATATAATTCTATAGAAAATTGGGATGTATATACATTAAAAGTCTATTGAATATATAGAAACTTCTTATCTAAGATGAAAACTATTCTTCTATAGTTATTGCTTCTTATCTCTCTCTCTCTCTCTCCCTCTCCTTTTACATGTTGAGGGAGGGAGAATTACATGTTGTTAGCATAATTTCTATAAAAATACACCTGTGTACATAAGAAGTCATTGAATTTGCTTATGTTTATCATTGAAATAAAACTTGCATAGAAATTGTTACCAAAAATAAATAAATAAACAAACTATTTGAATTTATCTTGTATATTAAAGAATTTAAGTAATATTAGACTAGTATAATGTGAATAGAATGAAATGAAGCCTATATGATAGATTTTGTAATAAGTGACCAATCAGCTTCTATCAATAAATTTCTATTATAACTGCGGAGGAGTCCCATACTAGGACAAAACGGGCGTCCACTGCTTCCAGATTTTCCATTGTGGTCTAGCTTCAATCCACTCATGATTTCAACCTATGAAATTTGTATAAACTCTCCACAAAACTCATTCTGATAATAATCAACTGCTCACTAGTGACTGACTTCAGGAGATACTCCTGGAGTTCTAGTGAGAAGCCATGATCAGTGGAGTTCAACCAGGTTTGTTGTGAGATATCAGCTCACTGAAGACAATGGTGTACGGTGGCACAACTTCGTGAATTGTTTGAAGTTAGATATTAACACTGTTAGATGTCAGCTCAGGGGTCTAGTTGGTTAAGTGCCTAGCGTGAGACTGTTAGGTCCTGGGTTGGAATCTCGCGGGATGCGGGATCGTGGATGCGCACTGTTGAGGAGTCCTATACTAGGACGAAACACTCGTTCAGTGCTTCCAGGTTTTCCATGGTGGTCTAGCTTTAATTAACTCATGATTTCAACTATTGAAATTAGTAATTTGTAGACGAATAGTAGTTGTAGGTATCATTATTAATGTTTGACCTGTTAATTTCGAATAAATTGAGCATTGGGTAAATAAATTAATATATTTGTACTATATTTTTCTACTCATTGGGATATTACAAATATATTAATTTACGTACTAGTTGTGTTTTATCATCTAAAATCTGTTGAGTAAGCGGTGATAATTGATCGGTTCAGTGAGTAAATTATTGTTTCGAATAGATCAGTTGTTTCATTATTTCATCAGATCGATTATACAGTCATGACAAGAGCAAACGTCAGTTTTCTGAAGGTTTTACCGACTAATACCATTAAATCATAAAATACTATGGAATAAAACCATATATTCAGAGATGGATGGTGGCTAGAAGTGGAAGATAGGACACTCGTTTCGTCCTATTTTAGCACTCTTCAGCTGGATGTACCTACATCTCGGAGTTGATTTTCACTCCAAGACTCGAAGCCAGTACCGTTCGTTTTAAATGTCACTGCGTTATCCACTTATCTACTGAGTCCAGATAGCCATTATCTTCTAGTCTCGGAGTGAACATCGACTCCGGGATGCAGGTACATCCAGTTGACGAGTGCCAAAATAAGATCAAATGCACATCCTGAATTCCAATACCAACCACCATCCACCTCTACTTATAATACTTGTGATTTAAGGCAATATCAAGGCAATCCGTACAGAATGAATACATGCCAATAAGGCTGATCAATCGAAGTTCTAAACATCCATGGGAAGATTCAAATGACCATTACAAAAATGAATTAAAATTTTATATTGTTTATCTTCTACCTTTCTATATTAAATAAAAAGAATGTTAAATCAATTAAGACATTTAATCTATACGATTTAACTATTTTCGTAGGCTAGACAATTTGATAATATTTAACAATCAACAACTAAATAATCTACGACAGAAAATACAATGAATACTTTTCTGGTTAGCGTTTTTTAGTGAGTTAGTTTTCTACGGGATGGGGTCGCTAACCCTATGCCCAACCCTCATCCTTTATCCGGGCTTGGGACCAGCTGTAGCTCCAGAGGTGCTCCAGGCAGAGTTAGAAAATGAAATGATAATAGTGAATTTCAAAAACCGTTCCACAATGCCACTTGGAAATTAATATATATATTCAATATTTCAATCTTATATCAGTATTGTTTAAAGAGTTTTGAAAATAATAAAAGATTCTATGTAAATTCGTTTGGACATTAAACTAGTGAATGCTAAACGTTAGTTTCCAATCAAACTAAATATCAATAAGTTTATTTCCGATTGTCTTGTAAAATGAACCACTTTGTTATATCAGTTAGTTATGACAGAATGAAATCGAAGAAGATCATTTATTTACTCAACATGATTTTTGTTCAGTATCCATTCCGTATTTATTTCCTTGTGTTAGTTAGTTGATCAATATTAATATATTATCTCTTGATCTAGTGTAACTTTCATTCAATAAAATCTACCTATAAATGAGTCTATTTGGTTAAAAAAACATCATCTTTTTTTTCTCTGGAATGTGAATCAAATATGCTGTTGTCATCAATTTTGTCGGTTTCATTGTATCATAACAATCAAGGTGTCCCATAACAAGTACCAGTTCTCTTTAGTTATAATAACATCAACCAAACTATTATTCTTAAAAGAATGTTAGCCTTATTTTTTTTTAGAAAAAAACTACCCTAGTTAATTTAATATGAAGGTAACTTGTGACATATAAAACCTTCAATTATATAGAATCTCTTGTCTGTTGAATGATATAGAATAAGTGAATATTTTAAAACATTAAGTAATGCCAATGACGTCTTCATTGTGTAAGAATATGATGAGTTACCATAAGTTCGTTAGTGAAATTCAGTAGCTTTGAACTTTTGTATTTAATATATATTTAAAGTAAAACAATAGTAAACTGATTCATTAATATTATGTATAATCTAAGAAAATCTTTCAATCCAATCATATAGTCATATTATTTTAAAGGATTGAAGTAAAATAAAATAGATATTTCACTATATTTAGTTATAATTGAAAGAAGAATAATGAAATAAAATGATATAAACTCTTTAACTTTGAATTCACTTGATATTGTTTTATTTGAATCTTCTCATTGATGTTTAGAACTTCAATTGATCAGTCTTTTGTTGGTATATGTGCATTCTGTGCGGAATGCCTCGATAATGCCTTAAATCACAAGTATTATAAGTAGAGGTGGATGGTGGTTAGCATTAAATCTAGGACGCACGTTTCGCTCTATTTTTGCACTTGTCAGTTGGATGTACCTGCATTCCAGAGCTGATGTTTACTCTGGGACTCGAACTCAGTACCGTTTTCTCCAAACGCTATCTCGTTACCCATTTAGCTACTTAGTCGTGACAACCATTCGCTTGTGCAATGGGGTGAAGTTTATATTCTGGACGAATCCCCAATTGGATGAAACGTGCGTCTTGGATTCCACTGTTATCCACTTTCCATCTTTGCTTATAATGCTTAACTTTGGGATATTCAGATAAAGAAATTTGATTCAAGCCATTAATTGATCAACGTTAGACAAACACTGAATAAACTGGAAGCACTGAACTATTATTTTGTCCTCGTATGGGACTTCCCAACAATGGGCATCTTCATCTCAACTCGCAAGAGTCAAATCTATTACTCTCGTTCTCATGCATGTCAACCCTTAACCTCTGAATAACTGAGTCATCATTCAAAGGCATTAATATCTAATTAGTTTTCAGTTTTAAAACATCAATTTGGAAACATCTTTATCAGTTCATTGCGTTAAATGTCTGATAACTTCAGAAAATTGATTATGACCAAAGTAGAATAATACGAAATCGGATAAATATATATTACAAATGACTGATATCCCCCAAAAAGAGTGTTATTAAAACAAAAATGACCAAGTTATTTTAAGCATATTCCAATGTTGTGAGATTATCCTTTAAAAAAGAAAATTTCTTTATGTCTTAAGCTTATTTACGTGTAGAATTAGAAAATTACACTTGTGTTCTTAAATCAGTATCCTATTTTTGTGCTTGTTTATCTTTGTCTTTCCTTTATTGAATGATGATATGAAATATTCAAACTATCAAATAACACTCCCAATATATCACAGTGTAACCTTTTCATTAATTCTCTCTATCTATCTATCTATATATCTATCTATCTATCTATCTATCTATCTATCTATCTATCTATCTATCTATCTATCTATCTATCTATCTATCTATCTATCTATCTGTCTATTCGCACATCATCTCTGCAGACATTTAGAATGGAATCACAGATGACTATAGATAGATGTAATTCATTTGTTTAGTTTGTTTTTATTTTATTAGAAATAACTTACAATATCTAAATTTCTTATTTGAAAATGTTGTCAATATATGATATATGTTGATTATAGGCAGATTCTCCTTCATTTTCCCTTCAACAATAAAATAAAATGTAACAGATAGAGGAGAAAATGAAAGTGGATAAATATATAGGTGAATATCAAATTACATAAACTACAGTTAATACTGTGACTATTTACAGACAAAGAATTATGACGTTATTATACTGACATATATGTATACCTTCCTAGTTAATTTGATCCCGTTTGGATGCATGTTTATGTGTATGTTAGCGATTTATTCAACAGATATTTTAAGCAGAATAGTGATAAGAATATAGAAATGGCGAAAAGTTAAACGTTTAAATCCTTATTCCTTTTAAATATTTAACCAGATTTGAAAGGATCTGAATAATTTGCTAAGTTGAACTACTTTAGCTACACTATTGATCAGCCCCGCTTTATGAAACTTAAATAGCTATCTAATGTATAAATGACCACAACCTGGATAGTTAATGTCTTTGTTTAGTTTACTGGGGTTTCAAACTACTTATATTACTGAATCGTGTATAATGTGCAAAATATATATGGATTTAGAAGAAAAGTTTTATTATTGATTAGGCTTGTAATTGACTAATAGATCTATACTTCATAGAAAACGATAAAGTTGATGATTTAACTAAGACTAAATGAATGCATGAGGTCTTCTATAAAAGATGGTTAACTTAAATATTCTGTAATACTAAATAGAAGTTAAATACGATGTTTCCACTGGTAGAGAACCAGACAACCATTTTGTATAACACACGTCCTTTCTGGGTGCAGAACTGTGTAAATTTGATGCGTTTTAATAATTAATTTAGTAGTAACCACTGTCATATTATATCATTTGAGGTAATAAAATTCTATCAGTCAATATGGCAAGTGGTCACAGTCCTAGGAGATTCAACATTTTGGCGTATTCTTTTTTATTCTAGTTGATTGAAGGGAATCTACAGGAAGTCTTTGACCTGGATTTCGAGTTAGCTATCACTCGCCATAAATTCATATAAGCAATCTCACTGACTGACGTTCCCCTTAGGGTTTGAACCCTCATCTGTCTCTTAAAATGCTGGCACGTGGCCTAGTAATAAAAGTTTTAACCAAGAAGTTTCCAACCAGAGCCTCTAAGTAACAGAACTTTATTAATAAAAACCAAGAGGAGGGAAAATGAATAACTAGTGTTTAAAGTATTTCATTGGAAATGTGCATGCACTAGTTATACCAAGTTGAAGTGGATTGCTAGATAAGCTATACGATCTCCGTTTCTAGGTATCCGACCCTCACGTAAGCCATAATGCGACGTACGAAAATAGAGGTTCTGTAAAGGTAACATAATTTTTAGATTTTATGGCTTACTATACTTATTTTGTATGTCGCTAACACAGTTTATTTTGTTTTTTCCTATTAGTTATCCTCCTCAACAAATTGATATGGGGAAATAAATCAAACTGGCATAAAAGTCAAGTGAAAAACCATTCTAGATCTATGTGTCGCCGTTACTCCAATAACAAGTATAAACTTGTGATCTTTACAAAATTCGGGTAAAATAACGCGTAATAACACTCACAGTTTATTAGTTTCCTCTATTAATAACTGAGTTTCGGTAGGCTTAATGCAAATTTTTAGAGTCTATATTCTTCTCCTAGAATACTAAGAATAGAATAATGGGCGTAAGTCGCTTAGCCAAATAATCTCACAAATCCTGTTTATTGACCCGAAAGACAAGTAGTCATAATATCATATAAATATTCTAACATTAGCTACATTTGAAAATTACCAGGAACGATTTCACTGTCTGAACTACCAGAAGCAAAAAATCTAGTGTTACTACAAGGGAAGTGAAAAACGCCCACCAACAATGTAAAAAAATTGATCTTTCGGTGGATAATCTTAAAGCTTTTAGTTGAACTATTTCTATGGAAACGTTTGCATGTCCATTATGTCCTACAGTCAGTGAACATCACCTCACTTAACAAGAGCTGATGTCCGAAAAGAAATCCAGATACTTAAATATTATTGTAAACCCAAATAAAACTATGTATCATCAGATTACCTCAAGGAGAGTGGTGAAATTTTTATACAGAGATTTGACTCGTTTCTATGAAATGGTATAGTAGACTAAGAGAGTTTAGTCACTCTGCTTCTATGACGTAATTTTTTTTGTTTTTTAAGTTGATATGAATAATCTAGTTAACAATCATTAAAGTGAAGTCCATTAAATGTTGCGTTAAAATATTGGCCGCTGTCACATTGCGCAAATTATGTGAAACGTATAAAAACAACTCATAAGTAGCGGTTTATGTTTCATTCAGAAGTGATACATTGTCAAGCTCTCATCCTCTAGATTGCCACTACAATACTGTATACTAACCATCATTATATTCTTTCAACATTATAATTACATTGAGCAGTAAAAGGTGTTTGCATTGTTTGTTTAGGAATTCCCATGCATTCAAGACCCTGGAAAAAATTCTCATGTGGAGTATTTGTAGTCACATTCATTCATTGTTTTTATAATCGAAGGTGAATCAAGTAAGGTTGGTCAGCTCTGTCATTTCTCTTCGGTTTTGTATTCAAAGGTACTTCGAAAACAGTTCTGAAATAAACTAACAATCGAGAAAGTAAGCTTGTATCTACAAATGAAATCTATTTTAATCATTATCCAGTTGAAAAATATATAAACAAGAAATTTAAACAAGTTATGTGTTATTACAAGTGGTTTTTCAAAGTGTCATTCCAGTATGATAGAGTCATTACAAAAATAATTCTTAACAGAATGGGGATTTGTGGAGATGATAGTAATTTTAATAGTTGAATTTATGAGTCAAACGAAACTAGACCACTATTCAAAACCTGAAAGCATTGGACGGCCGTTTCGTTCTCGTATGAGACTCTTCAACCATACGCATCCATGGTCCCGTATGTGGGACTTGAACTCAGTGCATTCAGTCTCTCGAGTGGACGTTTAACCTTTAGACCACTGAGCCGGTTGGTATGTCTAAGTTCAATCAATCCATGATCTTTGATAACTATTTATCCATTGTCTAGTTTAGATCAAATCATGAATTCAACTATTAAAATAATTTTAAGAGTAAAATAAACATCTGTCGAAAGCCTCAGTTGTGGCTGAAATACGTCGTGAATTTTAAAATATTAAATAAACCGAATAGAGATTACTAAACAAGCTAAGAATTCTTTGGTTTATTAATCATGTCAATATTAAGTAAAATCTTATAAATCAATAAATTCTCTAAGCAGTGCTTAAGTAAGCCACTAACTGATTATTTACACTAATTTATATGATTTACACTAGTATCCCTATCTTATAGTTACACGTTTCATGTTTCTTTTCGTTATCACCTTTATATATATGTGAAGATAAAGACTAGACTAGCAGGGGTTTCACCAAGGTCCTCCAATCGTTTGAAAAAATTGTTATTATCAGTGACTGATTTAATGTATTTTCATGCTTCACCATTTTAAAAAGATAAATCTGTTTCTTCCCTTTGTTTAACTACCGTTTTATGAATTATAACATATTAAACATTCAGCTATCCGTTACGAAACATTATTGGTTCTTAGAGGGGGGAGCACCGAGGCTAGATCTAGAAAATTAGTAAAAAAAATATCCATTCTTGTAATGAAGAAGCAATAGTAGAATATACTTTGACAGTTTGAATAATTTCATTTGTTGATTATGATAAATATTGTTTGTAACTTGATCAATTTAACAATCTACTATCCAAAATAAATTTCTTTCACTTATCTCAATTTGTTCTATTTTCCCTTTTTATATTATTTCTATCTTTGAAACATCATACTTATTTATTGTCTTCCCCTTTGACAAACTCTCCCTTTGAATTGTTGATTTTCTCACCAATAGAAAATAATTGATAACGGAAATTACTAATCTGTATCTGTTACTTTTTGTCATATGCGTAGGTAGCGTATTATATATAAATATATATGGTATTAGAACAATAGATTAATGCAATCACAACATTACATACATACACAATCTATTTAGCTTATAATATCATTCAGTATATGAAATCATAGGTGACTATTATTATTTATAAGAGTCAAATAAACTTTTTCCGGCTTTAACTGTCATTCACAATATTGTAACGTATATATATAACCACTTAGCAACAGAATTACTAATCCATACATTGTACTAATTTGATGTGGATCAAGAATCGAACTTATAAATCATACAAATTGTAAAAAAAACACAAATATTCCCTTCGAACTATACATAAAATAACTATTTGAAATAAGATTGATTCTCATTTCTCAATATTAATGAACATTTCCATTGTCATCTTTATAAACACAATCGAATTGAATAAGTAGTTGGTAAACTTTTCAAATTGTGCTCTGTTTAGAAGAGATTAGTAACATAAAAGAAAAATTTATAACTGAGTTGATCAGTGAATAATTTATTTGATTATCTAGTAAGTTTCATAGTTTTCTTTTCTTTTTTCTTTTATCAACTTTTCACAAGTAATTCTAATGCATCTTGATGTTGTTGATATCTTAGAGCATTATGTCGGAAAAAACATTCGATGAAGTAACCTTTATCTAGAGTCATTCATAAAAATCTGTTTAGAATGTTAATGGAAAGTGAAAAATTGAACCGATGACAACATCATAGGATATGCAATCACTGAAATGTTGTACATTGAAAAGTAATGGTAATTGAAATGAAAATGTTAACTGGACAATTGATTTCTAGAATAAACAATTTGATGAGGAGAAGAAAAAGGTTATCAGAACTAACATAATTCTGATATCCTTTGTTGTCTCATTGCATTAACCAAATTTAACAAAAGGACTATATATTTTACGTAGTTTGAACCTTTCCAATGTTTTCCATAATCGTTTTATATTTGTCTTATAAAATGAAACTAAGAAAGAGTAGTACTAACGACTAAACTATTGTTTAGAAGGTAATTTTAACAATTCCATTTTTTTATCAGAAAGGGGTTTTGTGGATATTATAGTAGTTTAATAGTTGAGTTCATGAGTCAATCGAAGTTAGATCATCATGGAAAACCTGGAAGCAGTAGACAGCTTTTTTGTCCTAGTGTAGGACTCCTCGGCAATGCTCATCCATGATCCCGTTCCTATAGTTTATCTTCCAAAACTTCCACTTTTTTAATATTGATATAAAGACATAACCATGATTACTGCACACTTCTAATTTGCTTCCAAATCCAATACATAAAATTTATTGTTAATATATAAATTGATGATAAATTACATTGTCTTATTTATCATTTAGTAACATCAAGAACATCTAATATACATCTAGTACAAATTACAATATACGGCCATTGTTAACTGGTTTAGACAAAGGAATTTTATTTACTATTTGACATATTTTGAATATCATATCTTTGAGTTGGGTAGCATAATTAGATCATTAGGGTTGATATTAAAATTATGTGACTTTAAGTTTATTATTACATAAATGTACTTAAATAATAGTAGGGTTGGATTGTTTTCTTTAATACGAAATATTAATTATTACGGTGGAAAAAGAATGAAATATTTATCTCATATCATTTACAACTACAGTTTTCCATCAAAAATGATAGCGGATTTTTTACATGCTTCATTTGTTGACAGAATAGTGCTAGTTCGTTCAACAATCAATAAGTGTTCGATAATGGAAATTGAAGAAATATTAATATTTGAAACAATTTTACCTAGTAGACATAGAGTAATCCACCTAGTACATCATGTATAATATATGACTAATGCACATTTTCAAGGTATTTTACTTATATTAATTTAAAAATTTATCAGAACTCCCTTAATTTTTCACTATGAAGTGTATTGAATCATAAAAAAGAGGTTTTATTCACTTTTGATGTATACTTTATATTCATTCTGCTCAATAATTAGTAACATAGTACTGATGAGCTTTTGTCATTGTCCAATAATAACCAGATATTTATATCAGAAATGGGTTTTGTGGAGATTATAGCAATTTAATAGTTGAATTCATGAGTCAATTAAAGCTAGACCACAATGGAAAACCTGAAAGCACTAGAAGGCCGTGAGTGCCCACTACTGAGGAGTCCAATACTAGGATGAAACGGCCGTCCAGTACTTACAGGGTTCCTATGGTGTTCTAGCTTTATTTGATTTATGAATTCAACTAATAGATATTTAGATTTTTGACAGTAAAATACAAGATTTCACACTGAAACTTCTAAAGTATTAGTTCAGGAGTTTAATTATAAATTCAGCTTATAAATAACGTGTAAATTCTTAACCAAAGTACCATTATGTAAAGGTTAACCGCATTCTGAAAACCAAAATCACTAATATGAACTAGCAAAAACATATTAGAAACAAATTTCACAGCTTACCTGATAATTCATAAGAAATAGTTAGGAAAAAAGAATGAAAACCAAAACATTCAACAAATCAGTTGACTACTAAAATCTTCTTACTATTTTTCATTGATAAATGAAAGTAGATTGAAATATAAAGAGCAATGAATAAAGAGGCAGTTTTCCTCTCAACAAAATCACTTCTTTGCAATCAGTAGTTACATTTGCGGGCACCTCATCAGTTTTAGGCACACTGCCCCGAAGAAATCTACCTTTACATAATCAAAAGAATGGAGTCAAATGGAAGATGAATAAAAAAAAACGTATGCACTTCTAAGGTATCGGCATTTCACTAATTTAAGGTTGAACTCTGTTTGCAAAACAAATAGCACGTCCCAGTACGTTTTTGTCCTGGTTGTTTCTGTTCTTCATAATGACCAGTTATAATTATCCTCGAACAATTTTTCATGATTATTATTGAATTGATATTGTGACTTTTAAGTCTCTCATTGCTGCTTCACATTTATGAAGTGAATAATTGTCTAACATATTCATGGCCCATAAATTAACTTTATCCTCCCTATTCTTTTCTAACTTTTCTGACGTTACGCAACCTACTTTTGATATCTGCGATCTAGGAATACTTTATGACATAATCTTTTTTCTATTCTTCTATAAACTTATACAATAACCAAAAAACTATAAACATAAATGTACAAATTAAGTAAACGCGCGAGACTGATGGGTCCTGGGTTCGAATCTCACGAGGCGGGGTCGTGGATGCTCACTGCTGAGGAGTCCCACAATAGAACGAAACGGCCGTCCAGTACTTCCAGGTTTTTCATGGTGGTTTAGCTGCAATTGACTCATGATCTCAACTATTGAAACGATTTTGTCAAGAAGAAATTCTCTTTATTTTTATTTATTGACACAATGGGTTATTTTAATAATTTAATGTAGATTAGCATAACTTGAGAATTTAAACAATTTGGCTAACCTGTAAAGTGAATTTGAAGACTAGATATAAGCAACAGAGATAACTGTAATTTCCTGATGTTGCAGTGAATTAAACAATTTTAATATAATGCTTATTATCCAACATGAAATATTCTTTTTATTAATTTAGACTTTTCACCAATCATAGTAACCAATAATCGATGGTAGCTGATAGTAGAATCCAGAACGCGTGTTTCGTTCTGTTTGGGACTCGTCAACAGGACATGCCTGCTTACCAGAGTTGATCATCACTCCGGGACTCGAAACCGTTACCGTTCGTTTCATACACAAATTTGATATTCATTTAGCTACTGAATCCTGATATCCAGTTGCTTTTGTAATGGAGTGAAGTTCAAATTCATTTGGTATTGCTTTCTTGAATCTCCCCATTGATACTAATAAGAAACTGATCAATTGCAGTTCTAAACATTAATGGGAAGATTCATGCAAATAATGCCAAATGAATTCATTGTAACCAATGTTCTGAAAAATCTTAAGTTTAACCGAATGGTATGTATTAAGCTGTTAAAGATAGGTTCAATATCAGAATACCAGTTTCGTATGTGTTAACATCTT